AATGAGAAAATCCATATGAGCCATGATGAGGGCTCGAACTTATTTGCTGGATGTTCCCATGTCCACGACCATGTTGTGGCCAAGTTGACTAGGGATTGTGTGTGTGTGTGGGAACATCCACTGCATAGGTTCGAATCCTCATCACGGCTCCTACAGATTTTCTCAATAATAATGTACTGTATTTATAAAAGTAATTAATATACAGTACTTTAATTTAATATATTTAATATATATTGAATTGTATCCCATACACCCGATATAGAGATTAAGATGTGACCCACACACTAAACCAAAGAGTCATTGCATGACCTCAAAGTCTAGAAGAATGTAATTAATCTGCATATTAAATAAATTCTCTCTAACTGGTTCATCAAGAATCTGTTAATACAATACTAATATATAATATATAATGCTATGATAATATATGTATTATATATAATAATAATATATAATACAATAATGCTATGCGTATTAGTGGCTTTGCAATTAACGTATGTAAAAATACCACTATTATGTAATCTCACAAACCCATTGTACCTTCTTGTAAATAAATAAATGAATAAATACATCAAAGTTGCTGTGAGATTGGATATGATACGTTAAGGTTGCATAGGATTATTTTACCATTATCAGGGACAGGAAGTGTAATAGTGTGATCGAGAGATACCTAGACCAACTACTGTTAAGGTAGTGGTCCTTCCCTAGGTAGTTGCATCCTTCTCCAGGACGCAACCCACAAAAGTTAACTAACTCATAGGAATCTATTCCTGCAAGATCAATAGGGGCATCAGGTAAAAGGAAACATGCCCATCTGTTTCATACTATACACAAGATTAATACAATACACATTAACAGAACACTGGAGATGCCCTACCTGCTCTGTGAGTCTAGTCTGGAACACTTGAGAAAGTCTTCGAAATCTTGTTCACTTATTCTTGTTCAAAATACTGATCACAGCTTGTCAATTTCTATTCCTTCTATCCCTCATTAGTCTTTGGCATTTAAATTTTATATATGGAAATTTTGCTCCGGAAACATATTTGATATTACAATTGTTTTCTAATTATGCTGTATATATACTTATTATACTCTATATAAGTATATATATATCTTGACTGGCTTGTTAAGTGCTATTCATTTCAGTCTTATGTATGCAGTGGATGTGTTCATGAATAACAAATTAAAACAAAAATTACATGTTATGTTACACACAGAGATCACAATAACGTGATGTTTACATGTTATGTTTATTAAATGTGTATGAATGTCTGTTCGAGATTGCAGGCCATTGCTAGCTTCACCCAATTTTTAGCAGTAATTGTTGTTGGGTACATGCCCAACATGGTCAGGGCATGGTAGGCATAAGTGAAATTAGTGCCACTTGAAATGGTTTTAAAGCTACCCCACAACAAATTTTGCAATATTATTAACTAGACTTGGAATTATTAAGCCCCTGACCCCCCCATCCTCACCACATGTAATTACCTAAGTGTAGTTACAGGATGAGAACCATGCTTGAAGAGTTCCGTCTTCCCAGTACTCTTTGTCATATAACGCTTTAAAAATACTGACGGTTTTGGCCTCCACTGCCTTCTCACTGAACCTGTTCCAACCGTTTACCACTTTGTTTGCAAAAGTGCTAATCTTTTTTTCATTCTAATGTTTTTTCAGTACCTTTGTTTCCTTAGTTTGACTCTATGACCTCTTGTTCTTGAGGATGTAGGATTCAAGAATTCTTCCTTGAAATTTTGTTGATTCTTGTTACTATTTTGGATGTTGTGATCGTATCACCTATTTTTCTTCTATCTTCTAGCATTGGTGTATTTAACACCCTTAGCTTCTCCTCATAGTGCCTATATTTCAGTCCCAGAAGCAATTTATTTGCATGTCTTTGCACCTTTCCAGTTTACTGATGTACTTCTTGAGATATGGGCACCATCCAACAGCTACATATACCTATTTTAGTCTCATGAAGGTCATGAACAATTTCTTTAATATTTCACCATCCATATATTTAATTATGATTCTGAAGTTGGATAGTGTAGCATAGACACCTCGCACAATGTTCTTTATGTGGTCCTCAGATAAGAGTTTTCTATCCAGGACCACCCCTAGATCTCTTGCTTTATCAGAGTTCTTTAACTCTTAAGCTGCACATGGCGTATATATACGACAGGACCCGATGGTACAGGTACCATAAGTTAAATTTCTCAAACTTGCTCTAACGCTTTCAAATTTTTTGTGCATAATCTATTAGGCAAACACTCCAATTTTATCTAAATGATCACCAATGTAATTTGAAAAACAAGAAAATTAAAAATAATTCTAAAATTTAATATTGAAAATTTCAGATTTTCAGATCAGCTGCAAAAATATTAAATATCACCAATTTTTCATTGTTATTATGCTTTCATAATAGTATATGACCGTCCAGATAAATGCAGTCAACCCAGCCATCTCTTTCCTGTAAAATATCTGTGACTCTATCATAAAAACTAAGTAGATTTGTTACACAGGCTTTTCCTGCTCAAAAGCCATACTATCTGTCTGTTTATTAATATATAATTTTTCTCCAAGTGTTCTACCCATTTTGTTTTAATTATTTTTCTATTATTTTGAATACTGTGCCAGTCAATCAGGTTTATAATTGAGAGAGTCTTCTCTTTACCAATTTTGAAGATTGGAACCATGTTTTCCTCTGTCCAAATATCTGCCAAAACACAAAGATGCCTGAAAAATCAATTGAAGTGAAGTTCTCAGCTCAATTGCTCATTCTCTCAGAGCCCAAGGTGATACTCCATCTAGGTTAACTACTGTGGTCTTACTTAGCTCCTTGAGCATTTTTCCACTTTGTCTCAAGACACCTCTATGCATTCTATGTAATTCTCTGAAATTTGTGTTGTGTTTGGTTTTCTGAAAACTTCATTTTCTACAAACCACTTTGGAACTGTTTATTTAGTGCTTTACACATTTCTTTTTCATTTCCCTGTCAATCTGTTCTCCATTTTCAACCTCTGGATTTTATCGTTTACCTGTAATTTGCTTTTAATAAATTTACAGAATACTTACTGTAGGTCTGAATTTGTGTACATTTGTCTGCTATCGCTTCTCAAAGTTTCTTTCTGCCTCTCTCCTCACTGCTGTGTATTTTTTTCCTGCTTATTTGTATTGCTAGTACATTTGAGGATTAAGCCTCTTCCTATATTGAACCCATTTTTCTTGTCTTTTGTTTCTCTGGCCCTAACACCAATTCTTTTAAACTAATCCTGCTTTCTAGTTCTGCATCTCTGTTTTGGTGTAACTTTTTTCTTCCTACAACATATATCTCACAAAACTTGACATACATCTCATTTACTTCCTTGCCTAATGACAAATCTCTCCAATCAAATTCATTGAGAAACTTTGTTAAGTTCCACAAAGTGTCCTCTCCTTGTTGTCTTGAGGTTATCTTGAGATGATTTTGGGGCTTTTAGTGTCCCCGCGGCCCGGTCCTCGACCAGGCCTCCACCCCCCAGGAAGCAGCCCGTGACAGCTGACTAATACCCAGGTACCTATTTTACTGCTAGGTAACAGGGGCATAGGGTGAAAGAAACTCTGCCCATTGTTTCTCGCCGGTGCCTGGGATCAAACCCAGGACCACAGGATCACAAGTCCAGCGTGCTGTCCGCTTGGCCGACCGGCTCCTGAAGTCAGGTTTTTCAACTGTTTCATTTTCCCCATTCTCTTCTAGATTATATCACATTGCATATATTATTTCCAAGAGGACATGCTCGATGATGACCAAACCACACATCAGAAGATGGAGAAATGTCGTCGTTCCTCCATCTTCTGATGTGTGTTTTTGTCGTAGTAAATATATTTTGTCAGTAATATACTTTCTCCAAACTCTCATTAGCTTATGTACAGGCAATGAAATGGGTTTGTTAATTCTACTTAGTCCACTACAGTAATTACAAATTCATACCTCTTCCCTAACTACAGTTAACACTCCTTCCCTACCTGCTAGAGGATGATGAGGTATCGACTGATTATACAATACAGTATAAGCAATTTGTAAGTGAATAATCTTCAGTGTAATTTCAAGAGTGGTTCAGTACAGACACTTGAGATATACTGCACATATTCAACATTCACCAAGAAGAATGTAACACACAACATGTCCAGATCCAACTGACTCCAAGACGCTTTAGCCTTGACACAGAGAAGACAGCCAGTCTCCGGCTGCATCGAGCTTTCGCGCTCTCGTCCCGCATCGAGCTTTCACGCTCTCGTCCCGCATTGAGCTTTCACACTCTCGTCCCGCATCGAGCTTTCACGCTCTGGTCCCGCATCGAGCTCCTTGACTCCACCCACATTCAGAGTACCATGCTCTACAACCCTCACCCCACATCCAAGCTCTCTATCCCCGGCCACACTCAGCTATCTACCCTACTCCAGGCTTCGTCTTGACTCTTACGACACTTCACTACACTGCCAACAAACCTTCTGCTATAACCAAGACTACTAAATAAATATAAAAAGACACTAAACTCTGTGTATCTAATCAACCAAATACGTACACATAATCGTACATAGCTAAACATAATATGGTCATCATATCTTCAGCCACGTTATTGTGACTAATCGTCGACATGGTCGATCTGACCCAAGGGAGAAAGGTACTGGATGTCATGTATCTCCTATTCTTTCCTGGTGAACATCAAATCCAGCATGGAAGGAACATTCTCTTCTCTCATTTTGGTATCTAATTACCAGTGTAGTTACAGGATGAGAGCCACGCTCGTGGTGTCCCGTCTTCCCAGCACTCTTTGTCATATAACGCTTTGTGTATTGTAGGCCTTGCAGACTATTACAGGCAAAGAATAATAGAATATTTGTTAATTTTGTAGGCCATCAGTAGTTAATGTTTTACAATAAAGAAAGAAAAAATGTAATTAAAGTAAACATAATAATAATAATAATTGCGTCCAGTTAATATGATATTGCAAAATTCATCATGAGGGTAGCTTTTTTATATAGATAATGATTAATTTTTCTCATTCTAATTGCTGGCGTTCAAAAAATTCAATGGCTCGCCTTACTTGATCATCGTACTTTTGAAGAACTGTGACTACCTGACGCCACTTTTGTAAATCATTTTTAATCACAGAACCTTGCAAATCCCTTGCCATTTTTCCAAGATTTGTCTCTGAATCAATAAGAAGAATCCCCTCCACAAGAGATTCGATCATTTTTAAGAATTCTCTGTCCATTGATGGAGATTCACCAGGAAACTTGAAATGTAAATCTTCGTTCTTTATTTTTCCATAATGATCTTTGACTTCCTCAGAGTTATGCAGGCATTCTTGCCTATTTGCTTTCTTTGCTTCTTTTATGCCATCTTTGTCTTCATCAGAGTTGTGTGGGCTCCCTTGCTCATTCCCTTTCTTCCCTTCTTCTTTACCAACTTTCACTTCTTCAGAGTTGTGCAGGCTCCCTTGCTCATTCCCTTTCTTCCCTTCTTCTTTACCAACTTTCACTTCTTCAGAGTTGTGTGGGCTCCTTGGCTCATTCCCTTTCTTCCCTTCATCTTTACAAACTTTCACTCCTTCAGAGTTGTGAGAGCTACATTGTGCCGTTGTCATCTTGAACGTGTCTTCACTCACTTTGACTTCCTCAGAGCAGTATGGGCTCTGCTGCCTGATCCTTGATTTCTTCACTTCCAAGTGAAATCTAAGTCTTTGAGCAAGGTCAGTTAGTGCTGAGAGATGCGTGTTAGCATGGCATAGCTTGCGACTGACTTCTTGCAGCCGATGTTCGTGCTTGTCTACCTCCACTTTCAAAGGATCACAAATCCGAATTATTTTCTCACTCATTGCCTCAACTGGTGCTAGTTCAAAATGTTGTAATTTTGTTCAATATGTTTTTTTATCTGTAATTAAATTTTGTTGCATTAATTTTTATTGCTGTTATATTTTTTATTATTGTTATATTTAACGACGATTAAGGAACTTTTATTTCTGATTACTAATCTGACTGAATATATATAAATTGTCGATCACAATTATATACATCAGTGAAAGCCAGGAGACACTGTTATGTCAAGTCTTGCCACACAACACTATTCTCACACAGGATGCTATTATCTCTAACCTCCAGAATAAACGTAAACATGAGACACTGCACGTTTACAAACCAATGTAAAATTGGAATTAAAACAAAGAATTAAACCCTTATGTGATTATAAAGACTTTGTTTAACTTAAATGTTACTAAAATGTGAGAATTTTTAAGCAGTCAAATTAAAACGCTAAAGTCATCTATTACAGCTAAATATGATTTGATGGCACGAGGGCAATAATGTAAGGAAAACCCAGACAAGCATATAACAGGATATGACAAGAGTGGTATAATGAGTACAGGCTGGTATAATGAGTACAGGCTGGTGTAATGAGTACAGGCTGATATAATGAGTACTGGCTGGTATAATGAGTACAGGCTGGTATAATGAGTACAGGCTGGTGTAATGAGTACAGGCTGATATAATGAGTACTGGCTGGTATAATGAGTACTGGCTGGTGTAATGAGTACAGGCTGATATAATGAGTACAGGCTGGTGTAATGAGTACAGGCTGATATAATGAGTACTGGCTGGTATAATGAGTACAGGCTGGTGTAATGAGTACAGGCTGATATAATGAGTACTGGCTGGTATAATGAGTACTGGCTGGTGTAATGAGTACAGGCTGGTATAATGAGTACAGGCTGGTGTAATGAGTACAGGCTGATATAATGAGTACTGGCTGGTATAATGAGTACTGGCTGGTGTAATGAGTACAGGCTGATATAATGAGTACTGGCTGGTATAATGAGTACTGGCTGGTGTAATGAGTACAGGCTGATATAATGAGTACTGGCTGGTATAATGAGTACTGGCTGGTGTAATGAGTACAGGCTGATATAATGAGTACTGGCTGGTATAATGAGTACTGGCTGGTGTAATGAGTACAGGCTGGTGTAATGAGTACAGGCTGGTGTAATGAGTACAGGCTGGTGTAATGAGTACAGGCTGGTGTAATGAGTACTAGCTGATAAAATGAGTACAGGCTGGTGTAATGAGTACTAGCTGATATAATGAGTACTGGCTGGTATAATGAGTACAGGCTGGTATAATGAGTACAGGCTGATATAATGAGTACTGGCTGGTATAATGAGTACTGGCTGGTGTAATGAGTACAGGCTGATATAATGAGTACTGGCTGGTATAATGAGTACTGGCTGGTGTAATGAGTACAGGCTGGTATAATGAGTACTGGCTGGTATAATGAGTACTGGCTGGTGTAATGAGTACAGGCTGATATAATGAGTACTGGCTGGTATAATGAGTACTGGCTGGTGTAATGAGTACAGGCTGGTGTAATGAGTACAGGCTGGTGTAATGAGTACAGGCTGGTGTAATGAGTACAGGCTGGTGTAATGAGTACTAGCTGATATAATGAGTACAGGCTGGTGTAATGAGTACTAGCTGATATAATGAGTACAGGCTGGTGTAATGAGTACTAGCTGGTGTAATGAGTACTGTCTGGTATAATGAGTACAGGCTGGTGTAATGAGTACTAGCTGATATAATGAGTACAGGCTGATATAATGAGTACTGGCTGGTATAATGAGTACAGGCTGGTGTAATAAGTACAGGCTGATATAATGAGTACTGGCTGGTATAATGAGTACTGGCTGGTGTAATGAGTACAGGCTGGTGTAATGAGTTCAGGCTGGTGTAATGAGTACAGGCTGGTGTAATGAGTACAGGCTGGTGTAATGAGTACTAGCTGATATAATGAGTACAGGCTGGTGTAATGAGTACTAGCTGATATAATGAGTACAGGCTGGTGTAATGAGTACTAGCTGGTGTAATGAGTACAGGCTGATATAATGAGTACTGGCTGGTGTAATGAGTACTGGCTGGTGTAATGAGTACAGGCTGGTGTAATGAGTACAGGCTGGTGTAATGAGTACAGGCTGGTGTAATGAGTACAGGCTGGTGTAATGAGTACTAGCTGATATAATGAGTACAGGCTGGTGTAATGAGTACTAGCTGATATAATGAGTACAGGCTGGTGTAATGAGTACTAGCTGGTGTAATGAGTACTGTCTGGTATAATGAGTACAGGCTGGTGTAATGAGTACTAGCTGATATAATGAGTACAGGCTGATATAATGAGTACTGGCTGGTATAATGAGTACAGGCTGGTGTAATAAGTACAGGCTGATATAATGAGTACTGGCTGGTATAATGAGTACTGGCTGGTGTAATGAGTACAGGCTGGTGTAATGAGTTCAGGCTGGTGTAATGAGTACAGGCTGGTGTAATGAGTACAGGCTGGTGTAATGAGTACTAGCTGATATAATGAGTACAGGCTGGTGTAATGAGTACTAGCTGATATAATGAGTACAGGCTGGTGTAATGAGTACTAGCTGGTGTAATGAGTACTGTCTGGTATAATGAGTACAGGCTGGTGTAATGAGTACAGGCTGGTGTAATGAGTACTAGCTGATATAAGGAGTACAGGCTGGTGTAATGAGTACAGGCTGGTGTAATGAGTACAGGCTGGTGTAATGAGTACAGGCTGGTGTAATGAGTACAGGCTGGTGTAATGAGTACAGGCTGGTGTAATGAGTACAGACTGGTGTAATGAGTACAGGCTGGTGTAATGAGTACAGACTGGTGTGATAAGTACAGGCTGGTGTAATGAGTACAGACTGGTGTAATGAGTACAGGCTGGTGTAATGAGTACTGGCTGGTGTAATGAGTACAGGCTGGTGTAATGAGTACAGACTGGTGTAATGAGTACAGGCTGGTGTAATGAGTACAGACTGGTGTAATGAGTACAGACTGGTGTAATGAGTACTGGCTGGTGTGATGAGTACAGGCTGGTGTAATGAGTACAGGCTGGTATAATGAGTACAGGCTGGTGTAATGAGTACAGACTGGTGTAATGAGTACAGGATGGTGTAATGAGTACAGACTGGTGTAATGAGTACAGGCTGGTGTAATGAGTACTGGCTGGTGTAATGAGTACAGGCTGGTGTAATGAGTACTGGCTGGTGTAATGAGTACAGGCTAGTGTGTAATGAGTACAGGCTGGTATAATGAGTACAGACTGGTGTAATGAGTACAGACTGGTGTAATGAGTACTGGCTGGTGTAATGAGTACAGGCTGGTATAATGAGTACAGACTGGTGTAATGAGTACTGGCTGGTGTGATGAGTACAGGCTGGTGTAATGAGTACAGGCTGGTGTAATGAGTACAGGCTGGTGTGATGAGTATAGACTGGTGTAATGAGTACTGGCTGGTGTAATGAGTACAGGCTGGTGTAATGAGTACATGCTGGTGTAATGAGTACAGGCTGGTATAATGAGTACAGACTGGTGTAATGAGTACAGGCTGGTGTGATGAGTACAGGCTGGTGTAATGAGTACAGACTGGTATAATGAGTACAGACTGGTGTAATGAGTACTGGCTGGTGTGATGAGTACAGGCTGGTGTAATGAGTACAGGCTGGTATAATGAGTACAGACTGGTGTAATGAGTACAGGCTGGTGTGATGAGTGCAGGCTGGTATAATGAGTACAGACTGGTGTAATGAGAACAGGCTGGTATAATGAGTACAGGCTGGTGTAATGAGTACAGGCTGGTATAATGAGTACAGACTGGTGTAATGAGTAACAGGCTGGTGTGATGAGTACAGGCTGGTGTAATGAGTAAAGACTGGTGTAATGAGTTCAGGTTGGTGTAATGAGTACAGGCTGGTGTAATGAGTACAGGCTGGTGTAATGAGTACTGGCTGGTGTAATGAGTACTGGCTGGTGTAATGAGTACAGGCTGGTGTAATGAGTACAGGCTGGTGTAATGAGTACAGGCTATTGTAATGAGTACTGGCTGGTGTAATGAGTACAGGCTGGTGTAATGAGTACAGGCTGGTGTAATGAGTACAGACTGGTGTAATGAGTACTGGCTGGTGTAATGAGTACAGGCTGGTGTAATGAGTACAGGCTGGTGTAATGAGTACAGACTGGTGTAATGAGTACAGGCTGGTGTAATGAGTACAGACTGGTGTAATGAGTACTGGCTGGTGTAATGAGTACAGGCTGGTGTAATGAGTACAAGCTGGTGTGATGAGTACAGGCTGGTGTAATGAGTACAGGCTGGTGTAATGAGTACAGGCTGGTGTAATGAGTACAGGCTGGTGTGATGAGTACAGGCTGGTGTAATGAGTACAGGCTGGTGTAATGAGTACTGGCTGGTGTAATGAGTACAGGCTGGTGTGTAATGAGTACAGGCTGGTGTGTAATGAGTACAGGCTGGTGTAATGAGTACAGGCTGGTGTAATGAGTACAGGCTGGTGTAATGAGTACTGGCTGGTGTGATGAGTACTGGCTGGTGTGATGAGTACAGGCTGGTGTGTAATGAGTACAGGCTGGTGTAATGAGTACAGGCTGGTGTAATTAGTACTGGCTGGTGTAATGAGTACAGGCTGGTGTAATGAGTACTGGCAGGTGTAATGAGTACAGGCTGGTGTAATGAGAACAGGCTGGTATAATGAGTACAGGCTGGTATAATGAGTACAGGCTGGTATAATGAGTACAGACTGGTGTAATGAGAACAAGCTGGTATAATGAGTACAGGCTGGTATAATGAGAACAGGCTGGTATAATGAGTACAGACTGGTGTAATGAGTACAGGCTGGTGTAATGAGAACAGGCTGGTATAATGAGTACAGACTGGTGTAATGAGTACAGGCTGGTTATGAGAACAGGCTGGTATAATGAGTACAGACTGGTGTAATGAGTACAGGCTGGTGTAATGAGTACAGGCTGGTGGAGTACAGGCTGGTGGAGTACAGGCTGGTGTAATGAGTACAGGCTGGTGTAATGAGTACAGGCTGGTGGAGTACAGGCTGGTGGAGTACAGGCTGGTGGAGTACAGGCTGGTGTAATGAGTACAGGCTGGTGTAATGAGTACAGGCTGGTGGAGTACAGGCTGGTGTAATGAGTACAGGCTGGTGTAATGAGTACAGGCTGGTGGAGTACAGGCTGGTGTAATGAGTACAGGCTGGTGGAGTACAGGCTGGTGTAATGAGTACAGGCTGGTGGAGTACAGGCTGGTGTAATGAGTACAGGCTGGTGGAGTACAGGCTGGTGTAATGAGTACAGGCTGGTGGAGTACAGGCTGGTGTAATGAGTACAGGCTGGTGGAGTACAGGCTGGTGTAATGAGTACTGGCTGGTGTAATGAGTACTGGCTGGTGTAATGAGTACTGGCTGGTGTAATGAGTACAGGCTGGTGTAATGAGTACAGGCTGGTGTAATGAGTACAGGCTGGTGTAATGAGTACAGGCTGGTGTAATGAGTACAGGCTGGTGTAATGAGAACAGGCTGGTGTAATGAGTACAGGCTGGTGTAATGAGTACAGGCTGGTGGAGTACAGGCTGGTGTAATGAGTACAGGCTGGTGGAGTACAGGCTGGTGGAGTACAGGCTGGTGTAATGAGTACAGGCTGGTGTAATGAGTACAGGCTGGTGGAGTACAGGCTGGTGTAATGAGTACAGGCTGGTGGAGTACAGGCTGGTGTAATGAGTACAGGCTGGTGGA